ATCTCTGTCCCCAAATTCTCTCCTCTGTGTCTCTAATATTAACAAGTACACATATTTATAGATTAGATTTGAGGCATTCCCTCTAGAATGTAAGCTCATTTGAGCAGCGCCCTCAACACTCTATGTACAGCCAGCTCATCTTGTTGCAGTTACATGTCTGTTAGTTCACATATTGTACAGCGCCAAGAAAATTGTTGATGCTTTATAAATACTAATAATAATTACTATTAGGCAATTTTTAATTTTGTGTACAATAAATATATTTTAATACAGTAAGCACTATGGATCTTGAACTCTGTCTCTTCCAGAACGGAGCGATCTTCATCTAACAACAGGTCACTTATTATGATCTGTTAGTCATTATATTAACTTTCAAGAAAAGTACATTATTATTATTTATCACATTGCTGCACCTGCAAGAACACTATAATATTGTACTATATAAATTCAGCTAATCCAGCATACAAACCCCAGTTTGATTATAACTGGAAATAACTGAAATAGCTTACAAAATAACTGATTGTTGTGAACTTTTATTTGATTGATACAATTGTATCCATTCAGAGATTTTTTCACATTGGACTTAAGCAAATCTGAGCATAACACAGTGATATGTTTTAACCATTGAATATAAGCTACATGATGTCTTTTTAGCATTGCAACAAACAAGATTTAAAATTTAAAGGTATATACCACTCCTGAATCTATATTAGACGGTTTCTATTATCAGGTAAGTAAAGGAGTCCGGGTCAGGCGTGGAGAGATCAGCGAGGTCAGTATTCAATCCGGTTTGTTATACAGTAATCAAATATAGCAGCTTAGTCTCCAATGATCTGTAGGTAAGAACAAAGTTGTCTAAGCTTCTTACCTAAGGTGTGGTTCCCTTTTGAGGTGAAAAGAATAAGCGTCTTTAACAAGGGGCGGAGTCTGAGGATGAGGGAAACCCGGAAGTAACTCAGAGGAATCGGTTGCGAGTAAGACCTGACACGGTTCAAAGTAAGACCTGACAGGTAGTGAGGCACCCAAAGACATCGACTTGAGGGAGCTCCATTTACCTACAAAAAGCGCTGTGGTTTTTGGTGATCGTGAACTTCCACCCAGCAGTCTGGAACTCTGTGCCAGATCAGAGAGTAGTCTGCCTGCTGAAAACTTGACTTCCACCTAACTCAGGCAGCCACCTCTGACCCAGGCACTTTTTGGACAGTGTGGGCGCTTTAGAAGTGAGCTGTCCGGGGATACCATTTGTTTGGGGATGTGGGCACAGGAAATTTGTATTATCGCTAATTAAATTATCCATCTCGGTACACACACCAAGGCACCGGGGATGTTGCAATCCTATTGTTCTCATGTGGACCTGCTATTTAGGACCCAAGTATATAAGTGTGACAACTTGTCATAATTGTTTCTTCACCCTTTACTATGTTTTAACTAGTGTTTGGGTGAGACCACTATACAAGCTATAACTAAGCTATAGTTACTGGTCTATGCACTGGGAGAGATATTTCGCTTGAAGTGCCATGGAGGCAACACTGGGGTCTCCTTACAAGTGGTCTGCAACAAAACAATTTAGTGAAAAAAACACGGAGAATAAATGGAATATATTCAAACAAATATTAGAAAGGTACATTTCTCATTATGTACAATTGAGTAATAACAGCCGCGGAACTACTGCGGCTGAATAGTTTGCAGCTGCTGAGCCCTGTGACCGCGGTTCCCTGCCAGCTAAGTAACGTGGCCCCGGGCTGCACGGTATAACCACTGGGCCGCATTGAAGGGGCCCATCGGGTGGCCCATGCTCTTAGGGCCACCCGATGGCAATGAATTTCCAGGGGTCCTGTCAGCGGTGAGGCACTTTAACAGCCCAACCGGGCCCCCGGGAGTCACACAGGAGGGAGGGGAGGAGCGACTCAGGCTGAGCCACTGGACCCCAGGGAAAGTCACCCTCCTGCACCTAAAAGGTAGGAAACAGGAGGGTGACTAAAACATTTTGCATATGTGTGTGTTTGTATGTATGTGTGTGTGTTTGTGTATGTGTGTCTGTATGAATGTATGTATGTGTGTGTGTCTGTATCTATGTCTGTATGTATGTCTGTGTGTGTGTCTGTATGTGTGTCTGTATGTAAGTGTGTATATGTCTGTGTGTATGTCTGCGTTTTTGTGTGTAAGTGTGTTTGTATGTATGTGTGTGTGTATGTCTGTCTGTGTGTCTGTATATGTGTGTGTTTGTATGTATGTGTGTGTGTTTGTATGTATGTGTGTGTCTTTTGTATGTGTGTGTGTCTATATGTATGTGTGCCTGTATGTGTGTCTGTGTGTATGTGTGTGTCTCTGTATATGTGTGTGTGCATGTGTATCTGTTTGTCTGCATGTGTGGGGGGGAACGTATGGGAAGGGAAGGGTAGATGTAAGGGAGGGGAGGCAGAGCGTAGACGTATGGGGGGGCCCCAGGGCAATTTTCACACCGGGGACCGGTGGTTTCTAGTTACACCTCTGGGTAATAAATATTAAAGAAACAAATTGAAGCCAATGTGGCTTAGTGGGATAGTAAACGATGAAATCAAAAATAAGAAAAGGGCATTTAATGCATTTAAATCTGAGGTATCCTATAAAAGATATAAGGAAGCTTATAATGCATGTAAAAACGCAATTAGATGGGCTAAACAGTAAAATGAGACAGTGATATCCAAAAACCACAAAAACAACCCCAAAACATTTTTAAGTACATGAATTCTAAAAATAAAATTACAAAAATGAAAATGTAGATACACTGAAAACCGGGATGTGGGTGTTCGTTAATGAAGATGCGGTAAAGCAACTATATATAACTTTAAACAACTGTATTTCCGCAGTATATATTACGTATATATTAAGGAGGAGCCTATTGCAAGAGATATGCAAATGATTGCTGCAAAAAAAGGGGCAGAAAAATTGTGATTAGATAACTCAAGACAAGGTGATGCAGCAACTAAATAAAGTTAATGTCAACAAAGCTCCATGGCCTGATGGTATTCACCTATGAGTACTTAAGGAACTAAGTGTGGAAATAAGCAAACCTCTGCTTTTAATCTTTCAGGATTCTCTTCTTTCAATATTTACACAGGAGGAAGGCAAGTGCGGTTCCTATATTCTAAAGAGTTCAAAATCTTTGCCTGGAAATTATAGACATGTGAGCTTAACTTCTGTGGCTGGCAAAATATTTGAAGCTTTATTAAAGGGTAATATTCAGGAATTCATTGGGAAGAATATTGTTATTATCAATAATCAGCATGGCTTTATACCCTGGGGTAGGATTTGGGTTAGGGTTGGGTAAGGAGTAGGGTTAGGGTTTTGGTAGGGTTAGCGTTAGGAGTAGGATTAGGGTCAGGGCTAGGGTAGGGTTGGGGTTAGAAGTAGGGTTAGGGTTGGGTTAGGAGAAGGGGTAGGGTTAGGGTTTGGAGTAGGGTTAAGGTTATGGTTAGGGTAGGGTTAGGGTTAGGAGTAGGGTTAGGGGTAGAGTTAGGGCAGGGGTACCTCTGAACCTAACCCTAACCTACCCCTAACCTAACACTAACCCTACTCTTAACCATAACCTAACCCTAACACTAACCCTACTCCTAACCCTACTCTTAACCCAAGAATAACCCTAACCCTACTCCTAACCCTGCTCCTAACCCTACTCCTAACCCAACCCTAACCCTACTTCTAACCCAACCCTAACCCTAGCCCTAACCTTACTCCTAACCCAACCCTACTCCTAACCCAACCCTCACCCTACCCTACCCCTACTCCTAACCCAACCCTAACCCTACCCGTAACCCTACTCCTAATTCATCCCTAACCCTACTCCTAACCCTACCCTAATCCTACTCCTAGCCCAACCCTAAACCTAACCCTACTCCTAACCCAACCCTAGCCCTAACCCTAACACTACTCCTAGCCCAACCCTAAACTTACTCCTAACCCAACCCTAACCCTACCCCTAACCCTACACTTACCCTAAGTCCCGAAGTGCCGAAGTTCCGAACCCAAGTCCCAAAGTTCCTGTAACAGCAACCCAGTGTGTCAGAGGGGTATATGCCGTTGGAGATGTCCTTTGTCCTGGCGAGAGGCTGTGCTACAGTGTGTTCCAGATATCCCATCAGCTGAACCAGTGTAGAGAGAAAATGGCAGAGCTTTTACAAGAGCTAGTGATTAGCTGGATACAGTTTCCCTACAATAACGAGACAAGGCTAGGTATTGAGGGTTAAGAAGATATGAAGGTTTAATGTGCCAGACTGGACTTTTATGCAACTTTCCCACAAGGTTACCACCCATGTGGACCTTGTGGGGCACTGAAAAATAAATTCAACAACTAATAGTTTACAGTCACAAAGTTAAACACTCCCATTCATTACATTAACATTAAAATTATACATCTAATTCCCATAAAACTTATATTTTCTGAACGGCATAATTAGGACACCAACATATTAAAAAATCATGCAAATCGATTCAGGGGTTCGGGAGATAGATGGAAGTCCCTTGTGGTATGTTTAAAAATACCGAACAAACACCCCCATCAGTGTTCGTGCTTTTGATGGTCGTGTGCTGCCTCGTTCGTGCAATGCTTTTACCAAACGCTGCTCCTTTCGTATGACTGTGTATGAATCTAAGTGGTCCTGGAAGTTTCAACGGTGTTCAGGAGTTTGAGTGTCCGAAAATAGTTCCAGACACTCGACGACCAAATCCCGCCGGACGCATTCAACAAAACAAGATGGCCGCTGCCAAGTGTTCATGCATACGAATCGACAGCCACCCAGTGAACCACTTAGAACGTTGACGTTGTGGTTTGGCACAGAGTCAATGAGTCAATTGGCGGCACACGACTGGTCTGGGTGGTCTCTCGTTCGACAGTTTGTTCGGTTATACGAACAAGTTAACAGGGTTGTTTGTTTTGCAATTTGTATGAATAGAGTGAAAGGGTTGCAAGTTGAATTGTTACAAATCTGGGGGCCAGGCAAAACGTTTGGAAGTGCAGAACCGAACCAAAGTGCTGAATTGCTGAAGTCCCAAATTTCGGAAGTGCCGAACTAAACCAAAGTACCGAAGTACCGAATTGAAGAAGTCCCGAAGTGACGAATTTCAGGATGCCGAACCAAATCAAATTTTTTGCCCATGCACATCCCTAAACAGTATAGTATAGAAGTTATAGCCTTTTCCGCCCTTACATTAGTCGAGGCATAATGCTGGAAGAAGAACTGGTTTTATTAAGCTCAGCATAGTCATGGTCAGCATGGCCATCCCTGAGTGCCCATGTTGGCAAAATAGCACCACTGAGATGACTGAGATGACAAAATGCCACTGGAGTAAAGTTTTGCCCGGCCACACACATGGTCCATGCCCAAAAGAGTTCCAGAACAATTAGGGCTGCACCTGGTCATATGTCTGGAGATGATGTGGACGAAATATTGTGGCACATAGTCTGAGGCATCTTCCCTCCAAAAAGCACCCTTGTAGCTGGTAGAGAAATGGGGACAAACCGGACTAAAAGTTGGCCGGGAGTTGAGGCTAACCACGGCCGGACCAGAGTTCCAGAAGAGTCGTACATAAGTCCCGCTGAAGTCTTTGTGGCTTCTGGACTCCGGTTATAGTGAGGGAAAGGGCGCTCTTAGTCCATTGGCCTGGAGGGGAGGTGATGTGAGCCAGATGTAGTGACAATAATCTGTTGGTGAAAATGCGTGGAGTATATCAAGTGACAAACATGATGGTGTGGATTGCTCCTGGTATAGGCACAAGTGACTGAGCATTCTGTCACACTGTGCATTTAGTGTGTCAGTGGAGTTATTGTGTCAATGTGCAGTTATAGTGTCAGAGTGTGGTTATTGTGCCAGTGTGGTTATTGTGTTAGTGTGTAGTTATTGTGTAATTGTGTAGTCATTGTTTCAGTGTATAGTTGTTGTATCATTGTGTAGTTATTGTGTCATTGTGTAGTCATTTTGTCAGTGTAGTTATTGTGTCATTGTGTAGGTATTGTGTTAGTGTGTAATTATTGTGTCAGTGTAATTGTTTCAGTGGTTAATTATTGTATCAGTGTGGTTATTGTCAGTGTAGTTATTTTGTCAGTGTGTAATTATTGTGTCAGTGTGTTGTTATTGTGTCAATTTGGTTATTGTGTCAGTGTGTGGTTGTCAGTGTAGTTTTTGTGTCAGTGTAGTTATTGTGTCAGTGTGTAGTTATTGTGTCAGTGTGTGTTTGTGTCAGTGTGTAGTTATTGTGTCAGTGTGGTTATTGTGTCAGTGTGTAGTTGTGTCAGTGTGTACTGTAGTGCATCAGTGTGTGGTTGTGTCAGTGTGGTTACTGTGTTAGTGTGTGGTGGTGTCAGTGTGGTTATTGTGTCAGCATGCAGTTATTGTGTCAGTGTGTGGTTGTGTTAGTGTGGTTATTGTGTTGTGTGTGGTTGTGTCAGTGTGGTTATTGTGTCAATGTGTTTATTGTGTCAGTGTGTGGTTGTGTCAGTGTGTAGTTGTGTCAGTGTGGTTATTGTATCAGTATTTAGTTGTGTCAGTGTGTAGTTATTGTGTCAGTGTGGTTGTGTCAGTGTGTAGTTATTGTGTCAGTGTGTAGTGTGTCGGTGTGTGGTTGTGTCAGTGCTTTTATTATGTCAGTGTGTGGATGTGTCAGTGTGTAGTTGTGTCAGTGTGTGATTGTGTCAGTGTGGTTATTGTGTCAGTGTGTGGTTGTGTCAGTGTGTACTGTAGTGTGTTGGTGTGTGGTTGTGTCAGCGTGCAGTTATTGTGTCAGTGTGTGGTTGTGTTAGTGTGGTTATTGTGTTGTGTGTGGTTGTGTCAGTGTGTAGTTATTGTGTCAGTGTGTAGTGTGTCGGTGTGTGGTTGTGTCAGTGTGGTTATTGTGTCAGTGTGTAGTTGTGTCAGTGTGGTTATTGTGTCGGTTTGTGATTGTGTCAGTGTGGTTATTGTGTCAGTGTGTGGTTGTGTCAGTGTTTACTGTAGTGTGTCGGTGTGTGGTTGTGTCAGTGTGGTTATTGTGTCAGTGTGTAGTTGTGTCAGTGTGGTTATTGTGTCAATGTATTGTGTCACTGTGTGGTTGTGTCAGTGTGTAGTTGTGTCAGTGTGGTTATTGTCTCAGTATGTAGTTGTGTCAGTGTGTAGTTATTGTGTCAGTGTGGTTGTGTCAGTGTGTAGTTGTTGTGTCAGTGTGTAGTGTGTCGGTGTGTGGTTGTGTCAGTGTGGTTATTGTGTCAATGTGTGGTTGTGTCAGTGTGATTTTGGTGTCAGTATGTGGTTGTGTCAGTGTGTACTGTAGTGTGTCGTGTGTGGTTGTGTCAGTGTGGTTATTGTGTCAGTGTGTAGTTATTGTGTCAGTGAAGTTATTTTGTCAGTGTGTCGTTGTGTCAGTGTGGTTATTGCGTCAGTGTGTGGTTGTGTCAGTGTGTACTGTAGTGTGTCAGTGTGGTTATTGTGTCAGTGTGTAGTTATTGTGTCATTGTGTAGTCATTGTGTAGTCATTATAGTTGTGTCATTGTGTAGTTATTGTGTTAGTGTAGTTATTGTGTCAGTGTATAGTTATTGTGTCATTGTGGTGATTGTGTCAGTGTGTAGGTATTGTGTCAGTGTGTTATTATTGTGTCAGTGTAATTGTTTCAGTGGCTAATTATTGTAACAGTGTGGTTATTGTCAGTGTAGTTATTGTGTCAGTTTCTAAATATTTTGTCAGAGTGTTGTTATTGTGTCAATTTGGTTATTGTGTCAGTGTGTGGTTATTGTCAGTGTAGTTATTGTGTCAGTGTAGTTATTGTGTCAGTGTGTGTTTGTGTCAGTGTGGTTATTGTGTCAGAGTGTAGTTGTGTCAGTGTGGTTATTGTGTCAGAGTGTAGTTGTGTCAGTGTGGTTATTGTGTCAGTGTTTAGTTGTGTCAGTGTGTAGTTATTGTGTCAGTGTGGTTATAGTGTCAATTTGTGGTTGTGTAAGTGTGTAGTTGTACCAGTGTGTACTGTAGTGCATCAGTGTGTGGTTGTGTCAGTGTGTGGTTGTGTTAGTGTGGTTATTGTGTTGTGTGTAGTTGCTGTGTCAGTGTGTAGTTATTGTGTTATTGGGTCAATGTGTAGTTATGTCAGTGTGTGGTTGTGTCAGTGTGTAGTTATTGTGTTAGTGTGTGGTTGTGTCAGTGTGGTTATTGTGTCAGTGTGTGGTTGTGTCAGTGTGTAGTTGTGTCAGTGTGGTTATTGTGTTGGTGTGTGGTTGTGTCAGTGTGGTTATTGTGTCAGTGAGTAGTCATTGTGTCAGTGTGGTTATTGTGTCAGTGTGTGGTTGTGTCAGTGTGTAGTTATTGTGTTAGTGTGTGGTTGTGTCAGTGTGTAGTTATTGTGTTAGTGTGTGGTTGTGTCAGTGTGTAGTTATTGTGTGGTTGTGTCAGTGTGTAGTTATTGTGTTAGTGTGTGGTTGTGTCAGTGTGTAGTTATTGTGTTAGTGTGTGGTTGTGTCAGTGTGTAGTTATTGTGTTAGTGTGTGGTTGTGTCAGTGTGTAGTTATTGTGTCAGTGTGTGGTTGTGTCAGTGTGTAGTTATTGTGTCAGTGTGTGGTTGTGTCAGTGTAGTTGCTGTGTCAGTGTGTAGTTTTTTGTTATTGGGTCACTGTTTAGTTATTGTGTGACTATGAAGGAGGGTTGGCTGGTGAAGCAGTTTTTAGTGAATCGGGGCGGGTCTTATCGCTGCACCTGCCGGCACCTACACCTTGATCATCCCGGGGACTTACTGTACTGGGACCACCTACAGCTTGATCATCCCGGGGACTTACTGTACTGGGACCACCTACAGCTTGATTATCCCGGGGACTTACTGTACTGAGACCACCTACAGCTTGATCATCCCGGGGACTTACTGTACTGAGACCACCTACAGCTTGATCATCCCGGGGACTTACTGTACTGAGACCACCTACAGTTTGATCATCCCAGGGACTTACTGTACTGAGACCACCTACAGTTTGATCATCCCAGGGACTTACTGTACTGGGACCACCTACAGCTTGATCATCCCGGGGACTTACTGTACTGGGACCACCTACAGCTTGATCATCTCGGGGACTTACTGTACTGGGACCACCTACAGCTTGATCATCCCAGGGACTTACTGTACTGGGACCACCTACAGCTTGATCATCCCAGGGACTTACTGTACTGGGACCACCTGTAGCTTGATCAGCCGTGGATTTACTGACTCATCTACTGAAGGCACCAGATTAACTGAGGAACACTCACCGAATACTTAGACAGACACCGTCAAAGGTGGTAATATGGACAGCATTATATCGGGGTATAATAGCATTGGGTGGTGTGTAATAACAGTACATGGGGTATAATATCATTGAGTGGTGTGTAATAACAGTATATGGGGTATTTGGTGGTGTGATACATTAGATGGAGGATGATAACATTGGATGGTGTACAATATTATTAGATGGGGTATGATATCATTGGATGGTGTATAATAACATTAGATGGGGTATGATTACGTTGGATGGTGTACAATAACATAAGATGGGTTTTGACAACATTGGATGGATTACAATAACATAAGATGGGGTATGATAATATTGGATGGTGTATAATAGCATTGGGTGGTGTGATACATTAGATGGGGTATGATAACATTGGGTAGTGTGATACATTGGATGGGGTATGATAACATTGGGTAGTGTGATACATTGGATGGGGTATGATAACATTGGGTGGTGTGATACAGTAGATGGGGTATGATAACATTGGGTGGTGTGATACAGTAGATGGGGTATGATAACATTGAGTGGTGTTATACATTACATGGGATATGATGACATTGGATTGTGTACAATAACTTTAGATGATATATGATAACATTGGCTGGTGTTTAATAACATTAGATGGGGTATGATATCATTGGATGGGGTATGATAACATTGGATGGTGTAGTATAATAACATTAGATGGGATATGATAACATTGGAGGGTGTATAATAACATTAGATGGGGTGTGATATCATTGGATGGTGTATAATAACATAAGATGGGGTATGATAACATTTGATGGTGTTTAATAACATTAGATGGGGTATGATAACATTGGATGGTGTAGTATAATAACATTAGATGGGATATGATAACATTGGAGAGTGTATAATAACATTAGATGGGGTGTGATATCATTGGATGGTGTATAATAACATAAGATGGGGTATGATAACATTTGATGGTGTATAATAACATTAGATGGAGTATGATATCATTGGATGGTGTATAATAACATTAGATGGGGTGTGATATCATTGGATGGTGTATAATAATATAAGATAGGGTATGATATTATTGGATGTGGTATAATAACATTAGATTGGATATGATAACACTAGATAGGATATGATAACATTGGATGGGGTATAACAACATTTGGATGGTGTATAATAACATTAGATGGGGTATGATAACATTGGATGGGATATGATATTATTGGACGTGGTATAATAACATTAGATAGGATATGATAACATTGGATGGGATATGATATTATTGAACGTGGTATAATAACATTAGATTGGATATGATAACACTAGATAGGATATGATAACATTGGATGGGGTATAATAACATTGGATGGGATATGATATTATTGGATGTGGTATAATAACATTAGATTTGATATGATAACATTGGATGGGGTATAATAACATTAGATATGGTATGATAACATTGATGGTATATAAATAATCGTATATCTCTATGCATGTTGAGTGATTGCCTGCATGTTGTGTGAGCTGTATTTGTGTCTATGGGTATACGTCTACATGAATGTGGTGTGTGTGTGTATATAATGTAGAAAGAGTATCACTATGGGTTGTAATCACTAAATATCAAATTGCTGTGAATTGAAAAATAAAATAGAAAAATTTAGGCTACAGTAGCCAAGCTGGCAATATAGTGGAGTTGGAAACTTATTTTGTTCCACCAAATTTATGAAACAAAATAAAATTAAATGACCAGAAAAGTTACGTACTTCCCCCTGTCCTCTGCAAACTCCGTTAGTATGTCGGTGTGCAATTCTCCTGTGTTAATGCACAGGCCTTCCCTTTTCTGTTCACAAACCTTCTCTGCCCAATAGGAACCCCTCCAAAAGCCCCCCAGACCCATTCCAGGGCCATCTAACAGCATTATGGGGCTTTGGGGCCCTGCCTACACAACCATTTACAGGAATAAACATTTTAATTATTAATACAATTAAAATTATATATTTATTGCCACCTAATTAATTAATTAATTAATTCATTAATCAACACCGACGTTTGAACAATATAACATGAACCTTGAAGTTGAAAAAAGGCTTAAACAAATGATGTGTGTTGATTTTGTCTTGCTTATGTACAATGAGTACGGGTACGTTGTCTTCCTCAAGGTCAAGATATGAATTTGCAGCGAGATCGAATGTACAGATAACAGCTGGTACTGAGTCCACCTAAACTTTTTAATAAGGAGGGTTTGAAGGTCCGGAATAAATCTCCCAGAATAATATACTGAAAAGTTGGCAGGCCTATGGGGCCCCTAGGTTGGACGTCTTGTCCTAGCAACCATGTTTACGAAGCTCGGCAGACATGGAAATACCTGTTAGTATGCAACTAGCATCAATGGCATGAAGATTTGATAGTAGCATTAGGTATGGTGTTAGCTTGATGGCCTTACTGGCCTTTCTAATAACGGAAGTACGGTGATAGATAGATGAGCAGATTTGCCCACCACATGGCCACCTGTCATTATAGGTTTTAGTGAGAGACAGCCTTATAACTGTGTGATATTTAAAAATTGTTGCAGTTATAAGAAAACGTGTACACAGTACAGTGACTATAGACCTCCTTTAGGCAAAGAGGAAAATGTGTTGTGGAATATAGAGAGAACCTTTATCTCAATTTTCTATTTTTAAAAAAAACTCTTTACCAACAAAATGTTTAAATGTTTATGAAAAAAAGCCAAAAGAAGTGTATATGGTCAATCATACAATGATCGGTCACAAGATTAAAATCACTGACAAGTGAAGTCAGTAACATTGATTATATTGTTAAAATGGCACCTGTCAAGGGGTGGGATATATTGGGAAGCAAGTGAACAGTCAGTTCTTGAATTTCATGAGCAGGACAAATGGGCAAGCAAAAAGATGAAAGTGACTTTGAAAAAGGGCCAAATAGTGATGGCTAAACGACTGGGTCAGAACTTCTACAAAATTCTTGTGGGGTGTTCCCAATATACAGTGGTTAGTATCTACCAAAAAGTGGTAAAGGAAGGACAACCGGTAAACCTGCATCAGGATCATGGATGCCCAAGCCTCATTGATGCACATGGGGGTTAAGGGCCAGCCCATCTGGTGTAATTACACAGAAGAGCTACTATATCTCATATTCATGAAAAACATAATGCTGGCAATGATAGAAAGGTGTCAGAACTCTCAGTTTGCTGCAAATAGGACTGCACAGCCACAGACCAGTCAGAGTGTCCATGATGACCTGTGTCCATTGCCAAGTGCCTTTTAACGGAAAACATAAGCGTCAGACAAGGTTGCCTGGTCTGATGAATCCTGTTTTTTTTTAGAAAAGGTGGAGGGCTGGGTGTGTGTGCGTCATATGCCTGGAGAAGAGATGGCAGCAGGATGCACTATGGGAAGAAGACAGGTTGGCGGTGGCAGTGTTATGCTCTGAGCAATATTCTCCTGGGAAACCTTGGATTCTGGCATTCATGTGAATGTTACTTTGACACGTACCATCTACCTAGAGATTGTTGCAGACCATGTACAACCCTTCATGGCATTGGTGTTCCTTGATGGCAGTGGCCTCTTTCAGCAGGATAATGCTCACTGCCACACTACAAACATTGTTCAGGAATGGTTTGGGGAACATGACAAAGACTGCCTTGGCCTCCAAATTACCCAGATCGCAATCTGATCGAGCATTTTTAGGATGTGCTGGAACATCAAATCAGATCCACGAAAGCCCCACCTCACAGCTTGCAGGACGTGTAACCCTCTTGAGCTCTGAACGCCCATGCAGCTGACCCATCATCTGCATTATAGTACCCTTTCTGCATTACAATGCAGTTTTGAAGGTGTATTAGCTATATATTGATGCACAATGTTCTTCTGGTATGTTAGTCTTGAATTTCAAGTTATGCCAGACTTGCCAGACTGGGTAATTATTGATGGGGTTGATTTGATATCTAAATTGTGTGAAAGGATCTGTCTGTCTGTAGTTGTATACAATAGAAGTATATCTTTTTATAAATTAGGATCTGGAATGTTTGTTGTCTGGAGCATCTGTGCTGGAATCTCCCAATATAGACATTAAGAATCTATATGGCTGGAGCTGATAATATATTCTAAGCAATGAAATAACTGATGGAAAAAATCCAATAGATCCAATGGTGTTTTTCTTCTCAAGAGATTCAACTTCAGATACATACAGGGGAACTGTCCTTTTTCAGATTGTTTAACAATATATTTTTCATTACTGTGATAAAATGAATATGATCTAACTAATACTGTATTTCATTAGTGAGTCCACCCCTATTCCATCTTTGCACCACTTTTCAGAAATGAACTGAGCTAAACAACCAGGAAGTAACAGGATGGGTTATCTGATTGACAGCCAGGGGATGTAACAAGGTTAATTTATAAAAATGCCAATTACTATTGAAATTTCCTTTTTTTTTTTTTTAAATGAGTTTTCTTTTAATAATTTTTCCAACCATTTATCTGCAGTTTTTTTTTATATTATTTTATTATTTATATAGCACCAGCAAAATTCCGTAGCACTTATATATATATATATATATTCTTTATTATATATATAATATTCTTTATTTAGATTGTGCAAGGAGAACATACAGGCTTGAGATGCCACAACAGCAAATACAAGCAGTTTTCAATCATATGTGTTAGAACATTGCCATGTCACTCGAAATTAATGCACATTTTTATGTTAATAAAAAACAAAAGTAAAAAATGATCTGCAGTTTTATATTATTCTAACACAGACAAAGTCTGTAGCGGTAACATCTCAGTGTGTGGCTTTGTAAGTCATCTGCACCGTCTACGTCCGAAATGGCTAATATTGACATTGCAAACTTTGGTGAACTACTTATCCCATGGTACTGTGCTAGCGAGACCACTGGGCCTCTGTCCTCGATTACAGCACTCAGAGTTTTTTGGAGCCACAGGTGGAATTCTGAATCAAAAATTTAAAAAACATGCCCATCCATTGTGCGCGCTGATGGTTTAGT